GGTTGGCGCAGGATAGAGCAGGGTTTAGGGCTGTTGTGCATAGGGTCGCTATGAGTCGGAAACGACTCGACGGCACATAACAACAACAACAACATGTCTAATAAGGGACTTATATCTAGAATTTATAGAATACTCGAATGCCACAAGAAGATAAAGATAAAAAACCCAATTGCCAAATGGGCACAGGATATGAACAGACACTTCACCAAAGACAACATTCAGATGGCGAATAAACACATGAAGAAATGTTCAAAATCCCTAGATCTAAGAGAGATACAAATCAGAACAACTAAGATATCATCTCAGTATGAATAGCAAAATTCAACAGAGCAGCAAACAACAAAGGATGGCAAGGTTGTTGAGAAACTGGAATGGTGCAACCACTATGGAAGGCTGTATGGTGCTTTCTCAAAAGGTTGCAAATAGAAATACCATTTGAGCCAGTAATTCCTCTTCTGGGAATTTACCCTAAAGAAATCATAACCGCCACCCAAGCAGATACATGCACAGCCATGTTTATCAAGGCTTTGTTCGCAATAGGAAAGAACTGGCAACAACCCAAGTGCCCATCAACAAATGAATGGATAGAGAAGCTCTGGTATATTCACACAACAGAATACTATGCAGCACTGAAAAACAAGGAACTCATGAAATACTGTGCTAAGTGGATGACCCTAGAGGGCATTATGCTGAGTGAAATATCTCAGTCACAAAAGGACAAATACTGCATAGGGCCACCATTGTAAAACAGGACTGACACTGGGGTTGAGTGAAGACATAGAAGAAGGGAATAATGTATACTGCACTGCAAGAGATGAGGGAGAGCACTGTTTAGAAGGAATATATGATTAGGTATTATTGTCATGACAGGAGTCCAGAATGAAGGATGCACAGCGCAGTGGACTTGGGGGGTGTAGGGCTGCATAGCAATGAAAGAGTTTTTCTTTTACTCATCAAGGAGAAAAGTGAATTGGGGGGAGGGAGTGGACAGGGAGAAAAGTGCAACAATGAATGACTAGAAACTGTAAGTCTCTGTAAACTTTCATTAAAATTAATAAAAAACATAAAAAAATAAAGTTGGAAATAGAAATACCATTTGACCCAGCAATCCCACTACTGGGAATATACCCTAAAGAAACCAGAACTGCCACCGAAGCAGATATATGCACACCCATGTTTATTGCTGCTTTTTTCACAATAGCAAAGAACTGGAAACAACCCAAGTGCCCATCAACAATAAAAGTATAGAGAAGCTCTGGTATATTCACACAATGGAGTATTATGCAGCAATGAAAAACAAAGAACTCATGAAATCCAAAATGGATGACCCTGGAGGACATTATTGCTGAGTGAAATTTCTCAAGTCACAAAAAGACAAATACAGCATAATGCCACAGGAATGACATGGGGGTTGGGGAAAACTAAGAAAAGAGTGGATAAACAATGTACATGGCATTGAAACAGATAAGGGAGAGAACTGTATAAAAGGGAATATATAATTAGGTATTATTGTCTGAGGCAGGGACTGTATAAGGATGAAAGAACTTTTTTCAAAAAAAAAAAAAAACACACACACACCAGGGATGGGGGGCATGCAAGGTGGAAAATGTGCAACAATGAATGAATGGAAATCCAATCTTTCTAAACTTTCATTTAAATCTCAATTAAAAGTGGTAACTAAAAATATATAAAACTTGTTCTACTAGGTAATGAAATTATAATGAACACAGAGTAAAACTGAAAATTATTCCAAAATCATGCATATGAATACAGTAATAGGTGACATTTCCCACCAATAAGAAATTAGTAAACAGCACCTGAATACAAATAATATCATATTTCTAACTGACATCATGTACTATAATGTTAAATATAAAAACATATCCAGAAAACTACT